GTTTATTTGATTTAAACTTATTTGCCTTCCATGGACCTCCATCACATAATTTTTCTAACGAAGAAATGACATTAATAGAAACATGTGGAGCTGGATTTTAATTTGACAAAACAGTCTTGTTGTTTTCAACAGTTTTCACCTTAAAGAAATTAGTTACACAACTGATGTTACAATACAAAGAGTTGGATGTTGTCTTGATATTTGTTAAATTTTATATATTGAGAAATATGTTAAATAAAAAATAAATAAATGTTTATTATAGTTTTTCCAGAGTGACTTGAATTGTGCATGATTTAGTTCATTTGTTAGATTGTTAACATCTTGCACTATATTTCTTTTACTTGAATTTTATATGCTTTGGTTGGGATTTTATATTGATGTTAAATCTTTTAAGCTTTTTTTGTTAAAGAATTGACTGAGTGCATATTTTGTGTCCATGAAAAAGCTATTACAGAAAATATTACAATATTAAAGAACTGTTCTTGTTAATTTGATGAAAACATTGTAAATATCCAGTGCACTCACATCAGAATAACTTATAGATTTGTTGTTAGAATAATCGATTAATCGAAAAAATAATCGTTAGATTAATCGATTAGAAAATAATCATTTGGTACAGCACTACTTTAAAGTGTCCCTTAAAAAGGAGATTTTAAGATCTAAATTTTTTTACCTATACGTATTTATTCCACTCAATTAATGTGTGATTTATTTATTTTCTATTATAAGTTTTATATTGTGATATATACAGTATAGTTACCGCCACCCATTATAATGTATATCGTGATATGAATTTTTTGCCATATATCATATTTGTCAGTTATATTTGTTTTTGTTGAAGGCCAGATGCTGAATATTTTTTGAAGCAGTAACCAGAAATTGTATTGATTTTTGCAACATTTGATGTCCTTCCTTGTGTTTTTCTCAGGACATTTTCAAACAGGCAACCGAGGACCGTCTGACCAGCGCCAACGAGCTGCCGTACTTCGAAGGCGACTTCTGGCCAAACGTGCTAGAGGAGAGCATTAAGGAGTTGGAGCAGGAGGAAGAGGAGCGGAAGAAGGAGGAGAACACAGCTGCTACTGAAACTCCTGAGGTACGAACATGTTACCAGAGTTTGGTGATGAATATGTGTAGAAATCAGTTTGAAAGGTTTTCTTGTGTTACTCCCTTATCATGCCTTTATTAAAACCTTTTGGATTTTCAGTTTTCTTTCAGCAAGAGTTTCACAGAGTAAAAACAGTTCTTATAAAATTCTAACAATTTCTTTAACCTGTTCTTCATCTTTCAGGGCACGCCAACTGACAGCAAAAATGCTAAAAAGAAGAACAACAAGAAGACCAACAAAAACAAAAGCAGTTTGAGCCGAGCCAATAAGAAGAAGCCTGGAATGCCGAATGTAGCTAATGATTTGTCTCAGAAGCTTTACGCCACCATGGAGAAGCACAAAGAGGTTAGATTTTCTTCTTTCAGGATATTTACTGTCACTAGAAGATGTATGAATGGTTGGTTTGGTTGGTTGGTTGGTTGGGTTGTTTGGTTGTTTGGTTGGGTTGTTTGGTTGGTTGGGTGGGTTGTTTGGTTGGTTGGTTTGGTTGGGTTGTTTGGTTGGTTTGGTTGGTTGGTTAGTTGGTTGGTTGGTTGGTTGGTTGGTTGGTTGGTTGGTTGGTTGGTTGGTTTGATTGGGTTGTTTGGTTGGTCGGTTTGGTTGGGTTGGTTGGTTGGTTGGGTTGGTCGGTCGGTCGGTCGTTAACTGTGAAATGTTTCAGTTTTCAAATCTCCCTGATTACAACCTGTGTTTTAAAGACAGAGTTTTGGCACCTATTTGAATCTTGTGATGCTCATACAGGATATCTGTGGGGTTGTAAAATGTATTAAAAGCAAGTAAATCAAATAAAAAATTCAAGCCATTAAAAAGTATTAAAAGGTAATAAACGCCATCAGTTTTTAAACAACTAGCGCACTTTCGCTATGCTGTGCTCTGRGTGAAAAACAGATTTAACAAACATTTCTCTGGTCCTATCTGAGACTCAGCTTTCACTTTAGACAGGCTTACTAACCAATCAAAAATAGTGTGGGGGCGAGACATCGCAATCCAGGAACGCCAACCTGCCATTTTTTTCTCGGTTTTGGATGGAGGACGGTTAGAAACTGGCGTATATCGTAAGCCCACCCACACAGACCAATATTTGCATTTTGACTCCCACCACCCACTGGAACACAAGTTAGGAGTGATCAGGACTCTGTACCACAGAGCAGACAGTGTCCCTACAAACCCAGGAGCCAGGCAGAAAGAGAAATCACACACACGACAGGCCCTGGAGCAGTGTGGTTATCCTYACTGGGCTTTCCTGAAAGCAGACAGGAAACACAGACAGGATTCCATGCAACCTTCAGGTGAAAATGAAGACCCCAAACCCAGACCCAAACCAGTGGTTATTCCGTATGTTGCGGGCGTTTCGGAGAAACTGAGACGTTTATTTTCTGAACATGATGTCCCAGTGGCTTTCAAACCCCAAAACACATTACGGCAAAGGCTGGTTCACCCCAAAGATCCGGTGCCCCGGCACAAACAGAGCAATYTTGTATATYCTGTTAAGTGCCAGGAGGACTGCGACCAGTTATACATCGGGGAAACAAAGCAACCACTGTTCAAAAGAATGTCCCAACACAGACGAGCTAATTCTAATGGCCAGAACTCTGCAGTTTTCACTCATTTACAGGCCAGCGGTCACTCTTTCAGAGATAAGGATGTTCTCATTCTTGATAGAGAGGAACGTTGGTTTGAGAGAGGAGTAAAAGAAGCCATTTTTGTGAAGAAAGACCGTCCATCATTAAACAGAGGTGGAGGCCTCCGTTTTCAGTTGTCCCCCTCCTACAGCGCTGCCATTGCCAGTATCACTCCACCCCCTGTTAACAATAGGTGTTAACTGGGTGTCAGCGATAGCCATGTGATGAGAGTATCAGTCACATGGAGGCAGGGCTTAAAAGCCTGAATTTAGCCTGAAACTCTCAGACTGAAGAAGTCTCTTGGAGGAGAGACGAAACGTTTCATTAAAGAAGAACCRGTCCAGAAGAACTATACAACTTTTTTCTTTTTTTTTTATTTAAAAGTATTCAATTTAACTTCAGAATTTCTCAATATACCCTGTTATAGCTTGAAATTTTTGTGAGTAGTTTATTTTTCATATCTGTGTTTTCTTGATACTTTTTTAAAAACTTGAACCTGTCTCTTCTTTAGGTGTTCTTTGTGATCCACCTTCATTCTGGACCCATGGCCAACACCTTGCCGCCTATTGTTGACCCCGATCCGTTGATCTCCTGTGACCTGATGGACGGCCGTGATGCCTTCCTGACTCTGGCGAGGGACAAACACTGGGAGTTCAGCTCCCTTAGGAGGTGCAAGTGGAGCACAATGTGCATGCTGGTCGAGCTTCACAACCAAGGACAGGATCGTTTTGTTTATACTTGTAATGAGTGCAAGCATCACGTGGAGACACGCTGGCACTGTACTGTGTGTGAAGTGAGTCACTCATGTTTTCACACAAGAAAAACAGCTGAATCAGCTTWAAAAGCTTTAGTTAGTTTGAGTTGTGTTAATTATTGTGTTTCACTCTTTTTTTTTCTTTCTTCAGGACTTTGATCTTTGCATTAATTGCTACAACACAAAAGGCCATGAGCACCAGATGGTGAAGTGGGGTCTTGGCCTGGATGATGACAGTAACGGTCAAAGTGGAGAGGCCTCCAAGAGCCCGCAGGAGAGCAGGCGTTTAAGTATCCAACGCTGTATTCAGTCTCTGGTCCATGCTTGTCAGTGTCGCAATGCCAACTGCGCTCTACCGTCCTGCCAGAAGATGAAGAGAGTGGTGCAGCACACCAAGGGCTGCAAGCGCAAAACCAACGGCGGCTGCCCTGTTTGCAAGCAGCTTATCGCTTTATGTTGTTACCATGCAAAACACTGTCAGGAGAACAAGTGTCCTGTCCCGTTCTGCCTCAACATCAAGCACAAGCTTCGCCAGCAGCAGCTGCAGCACCGGCTTCAGCAGGCCCAGCTCATGAGGAGGAGAATGGCGACAATGCAAGGCAGAACTATGCCACTGCCATCCCCGCCAGCCTCTGCTGCCCCCAGCACTCCCACCTCCCACACCCAGCCTAACACTCCTCAGACACCCCAGCAGCCAGTTTCCAACCAGCCACAGACTCCCAACTCAGCGGGGGTCATGTCCCCCTCTTTCCCCAACGCAGCTCGCACTGTCCAGGCCCAGGCGCCAGTTTCCCAGGGCAAGCCTGGGCCCCAGGCCTCCCCTCTACACCAGCAGCAGTCTCCCCTCCCCCAGCCTCCTCAGCCACCTCAACAGCGACCTCCCATTGCTGCACTCAAGATGGCCCACCACATCGAGAAGATGGCCCAGGCCCAGCAGAATTACAGGGTCAACATGAACGGCTTGCCCATGAATCCTCAGCAGTCACAACAGCGCATGGCCGGCCCGATGCAGCCACCCATGCAGATGGTGCCAGGGCCCCACGGGCCACAGGTGGTGCAGCCTAATATGGCCCCAGGGCAATGGCCCACAACCACGAGTGCTATGCAAGTATCTCAAACTCAACAGCCAGGCCTTGTCCCAAATCAAACTCCGCAGCAGGTTCTGACCATGCAGCGACCCATCATGGCTCCTGGACAGCAACCTTCACAGGTCCAGAGGATGTTAATACCACAGCAGCCTGGTGCCAGGACACAAACACCCCAAAGYCCTAGTACCATACCTCCAACCGCTCTWCAAGACCTCCTCCGCACCCTCAAATCCCCCAGCTCGCCTCAACAGCAGCAGCAAGTTCTGAACATCCTCAAATCGAACCCTCAGCTAATGGCAGCTTTCATCAAACAACGAACAGCCAAGTATGCAAATCAGCCGCAGCAGCAGCCGCAGGCAGGTCAGCAGCAGCAGCAGCAGCAGCAGCCTGGCATGCCAACCATGCAGACCATAGCTATGCCAGGAGGGCCAGTGCAGAGACCTGGGATGCCACCTCAGCAGCCCCAGCAGGCTCCTGTGCAGAGCATGGCTCAGTTAGGGCCTCAAGGGCAGCTGATGAACGCAGCGCACAACAACCCACAGATCCAAGAGCTCTACCGTCGCCAGCTGCTAAGACAGCAGCAGCAGCAGCAGCAGCATCTCGGTCAGTTCCCTGCTCAGGCTCAGGGGACTCCAGCTATGTACTCTCACCTGCGCATGCAGCAGCAGCAGCAAATAGCCATGCAGGCTGGTGCAGGATCAGCTGGAGTACCTATGGGTCAGCTCCCACCAATGGCTCAGATGGCTCAGCCTGGCATGGGGTTGGACTCGACCCAAAACCTGCTGCATCAACGATTGCTTCAGCAGCAGCAGCAGCAGCAGCAGCAACAGGCCCAACATCCCCAGCAGCAGCAGCAGCAGGCCGTCCTCAAGCAGCAGATGGGCTCCCCCGCCCAGCCAAGCCCCATGAGTCCTCAGACCCACCTGCTGACTGGCCAAGCTCAGGGTGCAGGCCACCTTCCCAACCAGTCTGGACTCTCCAGCACCCTAAGCAGTCAGGTCCTCTCCCCTGCGCCGGTTCAATCCCCCTGTCCGCCCACGCAGCCGCAGCCAACACATTCCAGCCCGTCACCGCAGGTGCAGAACCAACCCCAGCCCTCCCCTCAGCATCCGCCTGCACCCCATTCAGGTTCCCCTCACCCAGGCCTCAGTGGGCCCCTGCAGTCCATGGAGCAGGGACACCTGGGGACACCAGAACAAAGCGCTATGTTGCCGCAGCTTAACACACCCAGCAGAGGACTGAACAGTGATCTGGGGATGGTGGGAGACGCTACAGGGGACACTCTGGAGAAGTTTGTGGAGGGATTGTAGCATTTTTAATGGGAGCTTTAAAAAAAAAAAAGGAAAAAAAACTCTTATTTCACTCCCAGAAACACGTCCTCTGACTCGTCCCCAGTTTTCTCCCAGACTCTAGATCCCATTAGAGGGCTTGTTTGTTCTTTCTAAGGTTGAGAACGTTTGTTTTATTTTTTTTCCTTCTGTTTTGTACTGACGTGTTAAAAGTTTCAGCTGTTTGGAAAAAAAAAATAAAAAAATCGGTCAAGAAAAAAGTTAACGCTTATAGGGAATGTAATTGTTTCCTGAATCCAAATGTTGGGTGTTTCTTCCTTAAGATGTTGATGGATTTACGAGTTGCTTCATAAACAGAATAAAATCACAAAGAATATATTTTTTTGGTTGAGACCAAATGTGTTCAGTACTCAGTTTTAGTTTTTGGTATGGTTTCATGCCTTTTTTTATTTTCAAAGAAAATGTACAATGACATTATATCATTCATATCTTTATTTTGTACCTTTGGAAATAAGCATACATGCATTTTGTGTTGAAACTGTAAAATATTTTGTCTGGGAATTCACGCCAGGTTTGTGTTCTCTTCTCAAGCTCTCATTCCTGGCAATTGTAATCTAGTATTGTATCATTACTGCGAGACGATGCGTTCAGGGACAGTGACTGCTTCCTTCATTTTTGTGTGTATGAAGAGCACTCATCTGTATTAAAGTAGAAAATGGCCTGCAGCAGGTTGTGTACACATGGGCATGTATGCAGGTACATATGAAGACACTGACACAAACCCTCCCAGTCACTAAGACAAACACGACTCTGAATGGTTTCACCAAGAGAGAAAACGAAGACGTCAACTCTCAGTTCAGAAAAATCTGTCTTGCAGGTGTAGAAAGTTGTTGCTTTAACATTAAAGAGTCCTACTTTGTCATGCAAATATTGTAAAGTGTAAAGAAAACGTGAGAGGCCACGCCCCTAAGCTGAGGTGGAATGGTAACAGGTTGTAGAAAACATCATGAATGAATTCCAGTCCCCAACAATTTTACACTAAGTCGTGCACTTTGAAGAGCTTGAAGGTGTATTTTAAATTGTGGAAAACTAGTCATCAACCTTTATTCCTCTCTCCAAAACTGAACTGAGGGGGATTTACTTTTTCTCCTATTGTAAATCAAGTTATTACGCAAAATACTATAAATATAAGGAAGAGAGAATGAAATCACTGTATAAACTGGTAAAATATTCATTTCTTACTTATATACAATATTGTTAAATAAACTGCAACAGACGTCCAGTACTCTGTTGACTGAATGAGGCAATACTCTTCCTGTTTGTGTGTTTTCATTTGATTCAGTTCAGGGGGGRGCCTTGTTTCAAACAGTGGGTATAAAGGGAAGTTAGAGTAATAAAAGTGTTTTATTCTACAATTGTGTGTTTTTATAAAACAATATATCAATTTTTTAACAAAGTAAATACGCTGCAAAGTGCAAGTCATAACTTATATTGTTGGTTTTATTTATTGCTGTAACTGGGGACTTGTTGGAATTATTGAAGTGCACAAATGCACTGCATTTACCACGGATACTTGCCTAAAGGAACTCCAGAAAAATTCTTAGTTATCTTTTGGTAGTTGGCAAACAACGTTAAGGTGCATTACCACCACCTACTGATGTGGAGTGTGGACTGGAACAGCTCTCAAAAAAACTATATTCTTTCATACAATCGAGTCTGTTTTAAATACTTCAATAACAATTGAAAGGTTTCAGAATTTGAATTACTTCTGTAACGTGAGGGTTTGTTCTGTGGTGGATGGATCACTCCAGATATAAAATATAAGCAGGATGCAAACAGATGGCTTTATTAACAGTTTTCAGATCTCCACACTTTTTTACACTTTTACCACAACACTT